TTAAAAAAGTACTCTAAACTGTATAAATAATGTAAAATTAAATTGAATTTATTAGCCAATCGGACAAACTTCTGCCTATGAATGCCAACGATCTACCCTTTCACAAAGTACGTACGTATGACGTTGAGTAGATCGGATCCTCGCTCTAATACAACAATATTCTACAACACTACTATAATACTAAGTAAAAACACCACTCTAACTAATCCTAATAGTGATAAGGCTACTATTGAGGCGTGGAAAGACTTTATCCAAGTAACTAGGGTCAATTAGAGCTCTAGACTCGTCACGGGATTTGGTCACTAACTCCTATCGCTATTACAGATTTTACTTATCGAGAAGGATTAGTAGAGCCAGACACGTTTCATTATTGAACTCAAACTGAGGTTTATTTTATTTCAGTAAGATAAGCATCACTTTTATACTTTTTACATTACTACAGTAAAGGTTGAACTTATTCGATAAGGCGACTAAGGTTACTAAGGATACAAGTGGCATAAGTTGTGTAAGTGGCATAAGTTGCATGAGTTGCATAAGTGATATAAGTTGCATAAGTTGCACTTAAAGCGCAATGCCAGCTTATTTTGTCAATATTCGATCTGAGTCACCCAGCATCGATGTAACCTTTCACAACGTACGTACGTAATAAATTAGACTAGGCTAGTATTGTTAGGCGAAACTTGGAGGTTTCGCCACTGGCAAAAGTCAAAACTAGATTCGACTTTTATCAAAAAAAATTTAAAATGCCGAAATGGCGAAACTGGTGAAACTGCTAAAAGGTGGCGAACTAGAAAAGGTAATGAAATTAGTAAAGGATGAGAAAATTAAGTAAAAAAGGCAAGAATAGAAAGTAATCATATATGGGAGCTCGTCAGTAGAAAAGGAGTAAAAAGTTTCTAAGTAAAAGTTTTTTAAACTTTGAATTAAAATATTTCAATAACTACTAAACTAAATTTAATAATTTTTTTTATATTTTAATTATATACAGTTATAAAATTAAATAAAAAAAATTTTATTTAGTTTAATTTAGTAGTTATTGAACTATTTTAATTTAAAATTTAAAAAAAAAGTGATAAAAACTTTTTACTCCTTTTCTACTGACAAGCTCCCATACACGTGCATGATCGTACTGTCGTATATGCTGTTTTTTGATCATTAATCCAAATTTTATCTATTATAAGTTAATTATACAATAATTATTTCCTTGAAATTATTCCTGAGATTTAGGTTAAATAAAATAGAGTATCGAGAAATAATTGCCAATACTAATAATGTTAACAAATTACTTACATATGTATAGTATTTAATTAAAGGTTTAAAAAATCTTAATAATATAACAATAAAATTATTTAAATATGTATTTAAATAAGTTTTATTTTATACAATGTGGGGCACCATAAACCATCACCTTTTTTTTATCTCTATTTTACAAAAATTGACATAGCTTAAAAAATTTTTTAGCAATTGTAGCTTTAAGTCTTAAGCTACAAATTTGCTAGAAAAGATTTTTACATTATTTTGATTTAAAGAAGTTATATCAATTTATAGGGTACTAAGAAATTAAAATTTGACGTTTAATATATAAAAAGGAAACTCATATGTTATTTTTGACCAATCACAATTGATTATATTATATTAGCCAATCAAAGTTGATAAATTTTACGAAAAAAAGTGTTGGTTTAATACATAAATAAACTCTACTAAAAGAAAACTATATTTCAGACTTTGAATTTTCAAAGCTGGATTGATTTATTTTAAGTTCAAAAGCCTGAAGTATAGTTTTCTTTTAATAGTACTCAAATACAAACGAAAGGCTATCGTTTTGTTTATTGCTTTTTTACATTTTTATATAAGCCACATGCTGTGCTTAATAGCAACTCACAAAATACTTTGATTTAACATGGTTCGTTGTGTTTAACGTTCTCCAGGAGTTTAGCTTTACCGGGGTTTCGCAGAGTTTCGACATTTCGCCATAGTTAGCCAGTTTCGACTTTCGCCGGGTTAAGTTTCGACTTTAGCCATTTATCAAAAATAGTTTCGCCTAACAACAGTAGACTAGACAAATAGGACAAATATTGATTATTATTTCAATTTTCTTTTATTACCTAATCCCTATACCATTTATCAGTTTCGTTACCTTTCTCAGTTTTGGCTAACAATTGTACAGAGAGACCAATATATTTTGTCTTGAAAGTAATATTTATACTTACTGGGAGTTTATATATACTAATTTAAAATGTATTAAAAAACCATAATACAAAACAAAGATTCATAAGATGATTGCGAAGGTCTTTTTTATGATGCGAATCGATTTTCAAGTAATTTAACCATTTTTGACGCAAAATTGAGTAATGAAGCATTTATGAAAGACTTTTATTAAGTATAAAATTATACTAATAAATTAAAAATATATTTATAACGTTAATCATTTATTCAACTTGAATTCATTTTTTATAGTTGCTAAGTATGTTAACACAAAGATACTTATTAATAAGTATATTAATGCGAGTGATAACTAGTGTCAGAATCACCAGTTATACTCCAGGTTTACACGTTGGTGTAGGGAAATAGAAGTCAGAAATTAGAAATAAATAATTTTTTTGAGCACATGAGTAATTTATTATTTAAAAGTAGTAAATAACAACATTTATCAGATCAATACAATAAAAATTTTTATATGATATTCAATTATAATTTATATGAATTTTATCATCTTTCAAATCAATGCTTTCTATTTATGAAAGAGATATTTAAAACTTTGTCCTTACAACCAGTTTTTTTCTTTTCTTAACAATCTTTGTCTTTTTTGTATTTCTCGTGTTCGTATTCTTTTATTCTTTTTAATCATCTAAAGCTTTTTTTATCAGAAACTGGTTTCAATACTTTTGTATCAGAAACTGGTTTCAGTACTCTTGTATCAGAAACCGTTTCTTTCCTAGCTTCAATCTCGTCCCTTTTCATAGTAGAAGAACCTGGTTTCAGTACTTTTGTATCAGAAACCGTTTCTTTCCTAGCTTCAATCTCGTCCCTTTTCGTAGTAGCAGAATCTGGTTTCAGTACTCTTGTATCAGTAACCTTGTCCAAACCAGGAGCAGAAACCCTTCTGAGCGCATCCCTTTTCGAAGTAACAGAATCTGGTTTCAGTACTTTTACATCAGTAACCTTATCCAAACCAGTAGCAGCAATCCTTGAGTTTTCAACAGCTTCTGCAGAATAAATAATAAATAGAAATTAACATAAAAAATAAGTGATTGAATATGTAGAAATCGTCTTATACATACCTAATCTTTTAAAGTCTTTTCGGTAGGATAGGTAATAAATAAGTTGAATGTATGAGACCATAATAAGTATAAACAAAATAAGTTTAAACAAATATTGTCATAAAAATTAATACCTTGTGAAATTGGAGTTGGAACTGCCAACGTGCTGGCAATGAGAAGCGTCGAAAATACAGCAGCGTAATTGAACTTCATGATTTATTTATAAGATTTGAAATTAATCACGGATGAATAAAATTTGAAATAAATCGTGGATGAATAAAATTTGAAATTAATCGCGAATCAATAAAATTTGGATAAATAAAATTTGAATTTGATTGTAGGCGAAATTTAATTATATTAAATGAAACAATTTGTGTAGAGCTGAAGAAGTTCAGAAGGCCACTTATATAAAGAAATTTTAGATTAGATTCAGACATAAAATCCTTTTATTCACTAATTAAATATTATAATTAAAATATGGAATGTGGTTTCCTTTTTTTCTTTTTTCTTCTTTCTCAAATTCGTGATTAATTTTACCATACGTATTAGCATTAATGATGCAGTAGAATCGTCCAAATGATAATCGTCACATTGCCATAACTTGTCGTAACCATGGCATTATAGCCGTAACTTGCTATTTTATTTCCTATAGTTACGGTAAGTTACGGCAATGTGACGACTATAATTAGGATGTTTCTACTGCATCACTAATTAGCATTACCAATTTTAAACTCTTCAAGGTGGCGTTTTCAAACTTTGTCCTGAAGATGTCAATCACGATTAATATGATATTGAACTACATCTACAAAAGTATCATATGATGCGATAAACTCCATATCTATACAAATATCTATCGGTGAAAATTCGGAGCTTTCAAAATAAGGGAATAAATATCTGGATACGATGTACGTGCTTAACAATTTGGTAACACAATTCTGCCACTTAAGATTTGAATTTTGGAAACGTATCTATATATAGCTTTCCTTTTCTTGTTTTTTGAATCTAAGTCAGCATTTCGAACAATAAGTTTCGACAAAATTGTTCTAAAAATTAAAGGCAAATCTTCTCGAATGAGTCGCTTGAGAACATTCTTAATCGAACTTCTATTTTTATTCGTTAAATCTAGTAATTTTATTAAACCCATAAATATTCATGTTTAGAAATTCATTTCAGCATAAGATTATCATTATCTGATTACGTATTAGTTAAATTTTTATCGCATATACCTTTTTAATTATTACTGTTCAAAAAATATAGATTGCATTAAAATTTGATTTCAAATTAAAACAATGTGCGGTGGAAAATTTCCAAATAAATCTAAAATGAACGTGCGTCGCAGAATTTAAACTAATTTAGTTCGATAAATGATGTTTTCCTTTCCCCAAAGACATTAGAAATTATTTAGCAGTAATTACTTTATTCTAAATTTTAACTAAATATTCGATTCGTAATAAATTAAAAACATTGGCTATTGAAGCTATTATTAATACTTTCTTCTATCAATAACATTTCAATCACATGGATATTGTAGATATAAGCAATTTTGAAAATTTTCTTTGGGCACACGTAACAATGTACGAATTTTCCGGTGCTATTCCTATTTTAGTATCTCGTATTACGCAGATGTATTTTATTTCCTATTCTATATTTCTGCATGCAACATATAAAAAAATTATTTTACAATCCTCTAGTACATGTTATGATTATAATCTCACACGGTGTGGACGATTCCTCCTGTCGATGATAAATCATGTAACATAAAACAATCAGAAGAACAATCTATTTATATAACCAATCAAACCCTACATGATTTATCTCCTCCACCTTATATAGTTCTTTATAATGCATGACCTTATATAGTTCTTTATAATGCACGACCTTATATAATCTTTTTAATGCATGACTTATACGTACACAAATAGATGGTTATGTTATACAAAACAGCAGTCCATATTTTTTCGTTATCCGGAATGAACATGATTTGCATAATGCATCCTGATTAATGATGCAGTAGATCGTCCCAATGATAGTCGTCACATTGCCGTAACTTGTCACGGCATTATAACTATAGTTACGGTAAGTTACAGCAATGTGACGACTATCATTGGGACGATTCTACTGCATCACTAATCCTGATACAAGTTCAAGATCAGGTGCAATGCAGAAGAAACAAAAAATCGTCCATAACTCAATATTTTACCTATGAAACTGCCCTCTGCGCACTAAAAAAAAAAGTTTTCCTTTCGAAATTTTTACATTAATAAAGCTCTTTCTGACCTAATTTAACAACCTTAATTTAGCTGTAAAATTTTTTTACGTACCGAAATTTTTTTTTTTTTGGTAACGCTTAGTCTTAACCGAAATACTGCTCTCATTGTCGCACGTAATCGTGTGTAATTGCTAAACATGAATATGTAATAACGCCTAAAAGATTATAATACACCGGATACCATATGAAAAAGTATGAAAGTCCAAAATAATTCCTTAATTATCGCGGGTTGCATATTGATTTAACTTTGATTAAGTTTGTTAGATCGCTACACACCCGTACAATCATTTGATTGTTTTCGTCCGATTTCATGATTGTAAAGTACATTTTTTAACCAAAGATTCAATATAAATGCGTCGGCCAAATTTATGTTTCCTAAAAGATCATTGTATAATCGCACAACCGAACAACAATCAGGTGATTGTTCAAGATGTGCAGCGATCTACAATTTTATAACAGTTATATCAAAATGCAAACAGTGATAAATGGACTAAGCCCCCAGCCAAGGATAGTGATTTTGTGTTTCATAATATACCACAAAATTCAAGTTGATGATAAATTTAATTGGTACAGTTATAGTTGGTGGTAGAATTACTGAATTACGGCATTACGGCATTATACCATGTGGTAGAATTAATTTTACCACAGTAACTGATAGCCGTAAATATTTTACGCCGTAATGCCATAACCGTAATGCCGTAACTTTAAAGACCTAATTATCGCACCAACTTTGTCACAGTAAATTCGTGATCTACAAAATTTGGCCTGCATTATATAATTGTCTTATAATTTTTTGTCAGAATTAATTTTTTAACTTTTTCATTCTAAAAATATAAAGTTTTAGAGAAACAGGTCGCATATTGGTAAAATTAGCCCAGTAACATTTTTATCTGATGAGCAGCTGTGGTTTCATTGGACCAAATAGTCTATAGTTAGTTCTTTTTCAAAAGTAGTATAAATGTTTTGCTCTAATCTTTTCCTCTTTCAGATAAATATATACCATATAAAGAATTGGATCCTCATGAAGTTGTGATGGTCAATCATCCAATAAAATCAAATATACATATAAATTTGCAATTTTGCAAAATTTGTTATTATTACTAATGATATGTGACAACTATAGATGCATGCATTTGAAGACACATGATTATGTTCATTTGATGTCAAAAATGTTATAATAATATAGATTATAATAGCTAACATTACATAACTTTAGTTCAGTAGTTACATTAATATAAAAAGTTATAAAAATTCATAACAATAAAAATAATTATAAAGTTAATTTTCACAACAATTAGTTTTTAATTTCTGCTTATTTAGATTTTATTACTAATGTTAAAAATAAATTTACTATTTTTTATAAGATTTAAGTTTAATAACTAATATATATAAGAACAAATATATAGTATATTTTGTATGCTTTATAGAATAGAATTGAGAATTTAAGTCAAACAAAATAATAAAAAATACTAATTAAATTTGTATAGTTTAAAAAACATTTAAAGTTAAAGGTTTTTGTATTATGATTAAATAGCTAAAATTTAGTAAGAAATTCTAAAGCTTATAATTCTAATGTATATAATTATAATAAACAAACTCTTTTTTAAAGCAAATTAATAATATTAGAATAATTGTATCTACAAATTAAAATGTTTTTTATATTGCTAATTTATCTTTATTTTTTGTATAACAATTATCTAATATTTTATATTATCTAGTAAAAACTGTAACTCTTTCTGCAGATTACTTATACTAAATTTTTGCTAAAAAACATTTAACTATTTCTAATTATTTTATTAAATTAACCTTATTTTTGCTCTTAGTAAACTTGTTCAAAACACTTTTCTGCTTCTAGGTGGCTAAGTTTCAAGCTCTGGCAACATTTGACTACTGAAAAAAGTTATAAAAACCAAAATTTTGGTTTTTGCTTATTTTCTTGAAATTTTATTAACTAAATACACTTTCTACCTTAGTAATACTTTGTTTAGCTTACTGAAATAAACATTTTGATATATATTTTATCAAAATGAATTAAAACTTATTGAAATATCAATAAAAAGGCAAAACTGAAATATAGCTTTAAAAGATTTTTCAAAGACAATTTTAGGAAAACTTGTTGGGTTGCTTTGGAAATTTCACTTTTCTGATACTCATTAAAATTTCCTAAATATCCAATTACCTTTTCTAATAGTTTTATATTTTTTTAATCTTTTCTAAACAGTCTAGAAACTCCTAAATTTGAAAAAAAATTTTAAAAAACTTAGTTCTATAAATATTTTATCAAATTTTAATATTATATAATTATTTAGTATATATAGTTTTACAAGATACCTACCTTGGTAACAGCTATACCTAATACTATTAATCTCAACTACTTCTATTAAAAATGGCCTAAAAGCTTCAGTATTGAAATTCATAAAGATAACATAAACACATCATGTCTTATTTCTTCTAACAAACAATATAGCAGCTGTATAACAACTAAACTTAGAAGTACTATTAAAACTAATTACTTTTTTAAGCATCAACAACAAGTTCTATTGTTAGTTATTTTTGTAGAAAATTCTATATATACTTCATTTTAGCAACCAACCAAACATATAATGAAAATAAAGTAATTAATATAATTAAAAAAACTAAAGATAAAAAATCTCTAGTATACAACATTATGAATTTTACTGAATTCATCTTACCATCACCTAGCTCATCTCTTTTACCTATTATATATTAGCATATATGTACTATATGCAACTTATTCATTAACTATAAATAATCAATAACTAATACTACTTAAAAGCTAACTCTATTTTATTTAATGACAAATTTTATCATAAATCATATACTCAAACTCAATTTAATAAACAACAAAGCATCTTTACACCTTAGCAAGTACTTCTATATCTCAACAAAGTCTACACACTACTTTTATCCAAAAAATTTAACA